GTAGCTAAAAACACTTTTCAATTTGATTATATTACACGGCGTTAACATATTTGTAATTAATTTAGTATGAAAATATTTTTTAATTCTATAAAATTTACTGTTAGATACTTTATTTTTATTTTTAATATCACTTTTTTATGCCTTACAGCTTGGAATATTGAGTCACCATTTTTATTGGAATGACCTACTTAACTAAAAAGAAAACATTTTTATCCATTCTATTTTTTTAGTCCATTCTCAACTATTTAAATTTCTTTTATGGCTATTTTAAACATTGAAGCGTTTTTAGAAGGTTATCTTGTATTCATACGTTTCTGACCGTAAAAATTAAACATTTGCCTTAAAATATCAGAGTTTTACAAGCATTGTTACAAGTGTTTGATACCTATCTTTGGCACCAATTTTTGAATGGGTCTGAACTTCTTGAAACTAAATTGTATTGTTTTATGTAAGAATAAATTTGTTCTTATATAAATACACTAATACCTAAAACAGAAAATTTACTATTTAATACTTTATTAAATAGTAAATTTTCTGTTTTAGGATTTAAAAACTTGTATAGATTCTGGTTATCGAAAGATTTAATATAGACTCTTCTATTATAAACATAACAAAGGCAAGTTTTTTTTAAGTTATGACGCATAAATAAAAACCTAGTTTTATTTTTATGTTTTATTATTCATTATAAATATTTCGCATAAGCCAAATATTTTTTTTTCTGTGGCCATTTAATTTAATGGTCTTAATTCGTATGCTTTTTTTATACAAACGAATACCTAAATATTTATTGGTAGGCATTTAGATGCATTTTTGTATATTTGTATTTGTTTTGTATTTTTGTATATATATTGAAAAATATAAAAATCCTTACTTATTAATAAAAAAAATATACGCGAAATTTTCAAAATCAGTTTGATAGCAATAATAAAAGTGGACAAAGACTATTTCGACCATTTAAAAATTAAGGCTGTTATAGAGTTTTCTGTACCGTCAAAATAACACGGCAATTACAGAACATCCAACAGTGTAGGATTGTTTGCTTTTATCGGCGCTTTACGTCATAAACGAGGCAACATTGTTTAAACAAGTTCATTACGTTAATATTATATGGTACAATAATTGCTTCTCTAGAATTAGTGGCGAACAATTCAGTTAAAGTTTTTGTCGAATATTAGGTAATAATATATACCTGAGAACTCTTACGAAAACAAGATTTTATTTTACCGTGTGTTGTAATGAAATTTCATTGAATCGGAAGCATTAGAAACTATCCATAACACTTCTTAAGGTATTTATTTAAATCGAATAAATTTTATTGCAATTATTTTAAAGGTATTTCATTGTTCGTCTTATGTGTATTCAGTTTTACGAAACTTTTATTCATTCATGCAGCGATGGAAAAGTTTTTTAAAGCATAATACCAATGATTTGTTTTTTATATCACGGGTCATAGCTTTCACCGATAATTAATATTATGGGGACGATGATATCAATAGTTAACATTATTTTTATAAACTTTGCTGACAGTCAGCTATGAGGAGTTTTTGGGTCGTTGAATTCAATTAACCTAAAATATTACATCATACAGTATTTAGAGTTGTTGAAAGGACGAGCGTTGTATCTTACTTGCATCATATTATCCCAAATGTTTCAATAGAAGGTAAAATATTATACCCTGAATACGGCCCTCCTTTTATATCTAATATTATTATAATGAGATTGGACCGTTATGACTTTTAGTACACCGTTAAATCAATTTAAGATATTTAAAAACATATAAGTTACACAATTTATGAAGAATATCTAAAAGTTGGCTTCGATTATAATGAAATTTTATGTTATATTATGTATATAGACCCTAAAATGCAAATAACGTATAATTTTTTTTTTATAATGATATTCATAATTTTTTACTATTTTTATATAGTATGGAATAAAATATTCATTTATTTATTAAATATAATATGATACGATATGAATAGAGGTAGGTAAATTCGGAAACTATTCATAATAAATTTAATATGATTTCATTCATCTGTGGTTATCGACTAGCGTAATAACGTTGTATTGTTATAAGATATTTTCACATTAAACTGTTCCATACCTACATACCTGAACATGAACTACATTTGTTACGTAACTATTAAAATATTATTGTATCATATTATGTACATATACATATCTATGTTATGTTTTTTTAATTGGTTTGAATTTTCAAGTTTTCATTTACTAAAAAAGAGGATTTGAAAGACGTATTCTTTTTACAAAAAACAATAAATTTACAGAAAATATTGATGGATAAAAAAAAACACATTTTATGCTTTCAGTCAGAGAGTGGAGACTTTTGTTATTATGCTTTCCGCAATCCGTGAATACTAAAACAGAGACAGAGTTTATGATTTTTTCTCTTCGTTTAATTCATTATATTTTCAACACAAGCTGGCCCAACATTATCAAATAATGAACGAAATTTAATCTTGTAATACTTGGAAAATCTTGCAAAATCCGTATTTAACCGTCGTCGCAAGCTGTCAGGCTAAATGACCGCTGAACTTTTTATTGGACTTTGGACATCATTTCGTCTACCACAACACTTTTTACAGCTAAGGCTTAAGAATCTGATGTTTATGTACCTTTAAACATATACTGTAAATATAGATTTCTTCCATTAAATTTTAAAGTCAAATGGACAACATTAATTCATAACAAAATTAATTATTTTGTATTCCACTAAACCACAAAATTCTCAGTCTAGTAATTAGTATTCAGTGCACCGTGGGAAAGGGTATCTTGTTGTCAACAGAACAGTTCACAGATGATCTTAAACACCTATTTAATGCAGATTGAAAAGGACGGTTTATGAATATTAAATATGAGACAGTATTTGTTATTTGTATAAAAAAAAAACACGATTAAATGCATTCTAAAATTTATTTATATTTACTTCAAACTAATAGGAGGAAAGTGATAAAATTAATAAAATCAATATCTACTTCGTTATTTTGAGCATATTTAAAATATTCTGCCTTTTGTCAAATGATTTTCATATAAAAATTGTGTATAAGTGAGTTTCAACTAAAGTTTATTTAAAAAAGTATGTATGTATATTGAAGGAATAATTAAATATGAACATGGAAGTAAAGTGTTTGTTGGTAATAAATATTCTTTGTGGTATTGTGATTAAACAAATCCTAGAATACATTCAATCTTTTAATACTTTAAAATTACTTATAATTGTATGACTGTGTCTTTGTTGTGTATCTTTGTTGTATATCTTTGTTGTGTATCTTTGTTGTGTTGTGTCTTTATAAATATATTTACATAACCTTTATGAGCCGAAAAATTATTAATTTTTTAAAATAATAATAGGTTACTAATTATAAACTCGATAAATTATTTTTAAATAAATTTAGTATAATAAAATACAAACTACGACGTGTTTATATTTTTCCTCACTTATACATGCATTGTAACCTACTATTCTTAAAGAAGTTTTAAAAATTTTGAAATAACAAATCTGGTTTACTAACCGTAAAATCCTTTTTGCGAGCAGCCGCGGAAAATGGCTTCGATATATCCTTTTAATCTATCTTGTTAAATTCGTGGCCAATACCGTTGGGAAAATAGTTTCTTCGAAGCCAATAAAAAAATTTGAGTAATAGAATTTTATCGCATACATAAATTTTGCTCAATATAAATAACACTCGCTTTCGTATTTGATTAGTAGCAGTTATAATCTTCTGTTTTACTGTCAGGAGTTTGTTTTAAAAATAAGAAACATTTTCGCCAAAAACTACTTCGCACAATATAACAAAAGCTGATAGATAAATCTTGTTTCTTATATGAGACTAAGTATAATAATTCATTTTCCGAAATCCCTCGCAATTACCGCAATTATATATTCTGAACAATTTTATCTATGCACTTGATAATTAAAAACTCAATGGTAACTTTTTTGTAAAGGATACAATAATCGGTTTAACTTTAAAAGTTCAGTGATAAAAATCCTTTTTTTTTCTAAAGTTTGCGTAGTTTAAAATTTCCTTTATGCAGAATTAAGTGAATGGAAATTTGATTGTGGAATTACTGAATACTGGTTCTGAACACAGGTTATGATTTTTAAAGTTTTATTATGATTTTCGATTTGCGTACAGTACCTACTTATGCAGTAGAAATTAAAGATATAAAACAAAAATTAAAGGTATTATGAATTAAATTAAAAATTGCGTGCAATAGATAATGTGGCAGAACCTTCGTCAAAAATCCTTTTGTTATCTTAGAGTTATTTTTCAGGGGGTTTGAATTTGGCAGACAAAGCGAGTCGCATATTTCAGAGCTTGTAATCTCGTTTTAGTTCGCGAAGGCTTAGGCAAGTTTTTTTGTAGAACGCGTTAATTCCACTTGATATATAGCATTTGGACCCACATTTAGCAGGAATCATAATCGTCTTTAATACTTAACTGGATAATTTGATATGTTAAGAAGGCTTTGTCTCGCAATGAATTACCAGGTATCAATGTTTTTTTTTCTTTAAGATATTGGTTTTATGTAACTGTTCATGTCTCTTCACAAAACATAAATACTGAATCACATGATAAACTTTTTACTAAACTTATAGTGATGATAATACGATGAGAATTAATTTCGATCTACTTAACCTTTTTGGGTCAATGTGGCTAACTTTATTATGGAGTATTAAAGATATTGCCTAGTCATCTTAAGGTGTTCTTGGCAGCTAATAAATTGTTATAAATTAATCTCAATTGATTATAAATATTATATTAATTTCTTAATAGAAATTAAGGAATATTAAAATTCAAAGAAAAGGAAATAAAAGTAATTATTTCTCTAAGAAATAAATTTTACGAATCAAAATTTCTCATTTGGCCATAAAGAGTACAACTTTTCCAAATTCAAAGTATTATTTTTGAAGTTTTAATAAAATTTTCTTTTGTTACAGGAACATAACATATTTGTTCTCAATATGGTGCCTATCTTTAATGATGATCTGCGATGGAGCGCAGACAATATGCCCAAGCGAATGTATCTGCCGCGGTACTTTCGACCTCGAGGTCGGGAACGCGCTAAGTGTCGAATGTACGCGGGGTGACATGCGATCAATACCCGTCGATTTTGTCGACCACAAAGCTCAGGTCGTCGTCATCTCTGCACCTAAAGAGAGACCTAATTATCTCACCATAGGACCCATCTTTACTCAGCCGATTCCTTTTGTAAATTTGCGTGAACTGCATATTGTGAATTCCAACGTTCCTTCTATCGGACAGTATTCGTTTTGGGGCCTTCAGAATTTAAAACTCATAAATCTGACTTACAATAATCTAACGAGTATCGGAGCGGACAATTTTCGAGGCCTCATAAACCTCACGGACTTGCATCTCGACCATAACAATATTGAACAAATGCCAAGTGAGACATTCCGACATTTGACTGCTTTAAGGACTTTAAACCTGGCTCATAATCAAATTTCTACTTTAGTACCTCGCCTTTTTCGTATGTTAGCGAAACTCTTGGTTTTGGATTTAAGCTATAATCCATTGGCTGACCTCAATCCTGAGGTATTTAAGGATATTCAACATTTACGCATATTTAAATGCAGACGATGTCTTCTACGCAGAATAAATACTCAGATCTATCATTTGGTGCCGCATTTAGAGGAACTAGATCTGGGAGAAAATCAATTTAAGTATTTAACATCTGACGAATTTATTAGTCTTAAAAAACTAAAGACACTCAAATTGGATGGAAACCAATTATCGGTAATTGTGGACAATATGTTTGGAAGGAATCGGGAATTACAATTTCTTTCATTGGCACGCAACCGTCTCGCCTTGTTGGCGCCCGCTGCGCTCACTAATTTAACAGGACTAGTGCATCTAGATATTAGTCATAACAAAATTGACAGATTTCATTTACAAACTTTTGCTCCTGTGGTTGATTCATTAAAAACTATAAATTTTAGCGGAAACAATTTGCCATTGAATGAAATTGCCATAGTTTTGCAAATACTCCCTGATATTCATGGAATAAGTATGGCGAACTTATCAATAGAAGCCATACCACAGAACTTTTTCATATATAATGAACATTTGGTATCGTTGGATATATCCTGGAATAAAATTTCCAAATTTCCTTTGAAACTTCTAACAAAAACGAAATTTTTACAACGACTAGATATGTCTAAGAACAAACTGCATACGTTAGATGAAGAAGATTTGCAAAGACTAGAAGCCATTGCTCATTTAAATTTAAAAAAGAATCTTTGGCGATGCGATCAGTGTTCGTCTACCACAATGCTTGTTTTTATGGCAACAACAGTTCTTAATACAACGATTCGCCAACTAAAATGTCATACTCCTTTGAGACTTAATGGTGTAACCTTTGGTGAGCTAACTTACGAAAATTTAGAACCATGTTCGACAACTCATGAAGCACAAATGAGTGTGATAGCTGGATTGATGTTGTTGTGTGTAGCTGTGCTTGCCGTTGTTACTACAGCTTTGTGCTGTTCTAGGCGACGAGCCGCACACTATTATACAAATGAAGAAAAAAGGCGAGAACATGAGCATGATCATCCTGAGGAATTATTGGGTCGTACGGAAATTGGTAGTGTTGCAACTATCCATGCCCCTTACCACCTGGTGGCGAAAGGCAGTTAACGGCGCGCTCCAACGCCTCCCTTGCCACGCCGCTCCAGACGTGTGCCTTTTAAACCACACTTGGCTCCGGGTTCAATTACGCAAGAAACTACACCACTTCGCTTTTTATCGACGAACTTGTTGCCCGTCTCCAAAGAAATTATTTGATATGAGGACGATTACGTGTAATTGGACAGTGGACATTTCCTTAAAATCTAAGGACGTATGAACTTAAATGTGTAGTATTTTAACTATGAAGGCATATTTTTCTACAATATGACTTTTATATATAAACATATTTCATTAGTCATCTGAAACAAGAGTACAGGACGTATTGATATTGGTGAATTTAGACCATAATAAAATACGAATTTCGTAATTCTTGCTTCATATTAGGTCTTATTTATTAGGCTCGTTAAGAAATATTTAACAATATAAGTAATTTATGTTGTAGTCATAAAAAGTAATTTGTGCTAAAATCTAGAATAGTAAGATGCTCAAATTAAAAATTTAATATATCATTTACATTAAGCATCAACTTTAGTTATTTCACTCTAACACAAGTCAAACTGTATAGAATATCATAATAATCTTATTAAACGAGCTTCAAAGTTGACTGTAAGAAAAACAGTGTAGATTATTTAGTAATACATCATAAGTATGTCTTCACAAAGTAAGGGATTATGAAAGGTCATAAAAAAATACCAAATGTTTCCATGTGAATCAATCGAAGGTTTCAATGGAATACTATTTCATCAACTAGAGTTTAAATGAGGAGTAATAATACAGTATTATGTATATAATATATAGTAAAGACCTTTTTGACTCATTAAAAAGGATTTGTACAATGTAAATATTCCGTAGGTAGTAATTGGCTACGTGCCAAATCTAATTTAATATTCCATAACTATTAACCCTCTTAGTAATCAATTATTTATTCTCAACGACTATACACTCTGCTGTTTCCCTAGTACATATTATATTTATTGTATATCATATTTTTGTAAGCTTCGTTCAATACCTTGTTTCAATTGCTTTTTAATTACTCTGTAATTTCGCGACACACCAGGTTGAAAGTCATTGAAATATGCTATTTGTTACATTGGTAAGTGATTGTCTAGATTAATATGCAGTACCCGCAGTGAACATGGTACTATATTTTGTCACTTGTGGGAATGATAATTCAAGTATTCTAGTTTTGCAACATTACATTGCTTACCATCTCTTTGTTAATGGCAAAACGTTTAAAGCTAGAGAAAGTAAAAGCAGCTGGAACAGGAGTAAATGGACAGTAGATATAGAAGTTTGTGACATAGGTTTAATAAGTATGAGCGTATGATTAGTATGACTGGCCTTAAGATGACGTTATAGGTATTGAACTCGTAAAAATTATTTCATAATATTTTGGGGGTTGTGATGACGTTCTATAGATGCTTTTTTTGGTCATAAATATATAGGGGATGTAAGAGGAACTAATATTCTACAATAGGTTGATAAAATGCAACAAGTTTATAACATCTTTTTTTTCATCAGTTGTAACTTCATATATGTTTTGGCTGCAGTGCTTAAAATAATAGTAATATCTATAGTTTTTCATGTAAAATAATGTTTTAAATTTTTAATTTTAGTGGGATAGAATGTGTGTGATAGAATGTTTGATGCTAGAGTTATTAATATATTAGAAGTATATGAATAATAGACCCATCTATAATATATAGTTTCAAATTCTTGAAATGTCTATTACAGCTGGGTCCTTTATGATTAGATGTATATTTAGTAGATAGAAAAGTAGAAGTAGAAAACATACACCGCGTGCCTTTTCATGGCATTATTGCGGATACTTGCACATTGATAAATTTGGCTATTGCTTACCGAGACCACTAAATTTCTGTATACTTATTGATCACTGCTACTGCTGCACTAGTAATTGGTTTTTGAGGTATTTTGGAACGCTTTACACTTTAGAAACTCATAGTTTTCCTTAGATAACAGTAAACTATGGAATTTGTAATTTAACATATTATAGATATGTTTAGTCGTTGAGAATATCTATAATAATATATAATATATGTAGGTTAAAAAAAAAATAAAAAGACAAAAAAAAGAGACATAGTACATAGATATGTGTATATTATAGTAGGTTAGAAATATCAGTGAGTTCTGCTTTAAGTTGGATTATTTAAATTTCTAAGACGGTTATGATTTCGTATAGTTTATTTTTATGCTCTATTAGTTAGTAAATTAAATTTTAAGTACAGTTTAAGTTTTGAAGAATAATTACTTCCTCGCCATAGACGCGGGTGACACATATTTGTATAATTATTTATGGGGAACATGACATGGGTCACTTTTTTTCTAGATATATTTTTTAAGAGAATTTTCTTTATTTACACTAAGATTACATATTATACATATCTGAAGAAGGTTTTGTTTTTGTAGATCACATAAATGAATTTGTAAGATTAGTTTTTTTATAATTTTAATACTTACCATAGATTTTTAATCATATCATACTTTTGCTAATCTTAAATCTATCTCCTAAGTTATGTATATATGTATATATGTATAATGAAATGTTTAAGCTTATAATGTCGGTAATGGTGCTATAATTACATTTATTTAACGCAACGCTTTACTCATATTTCGTATTAATTTTGCTTGTATTTATGCTTCTGTTATTCCCGTATGGTGTCCGGGACAAAAATGGAATAGAATAGCACCAACGTTATTCTCCGGGCGTGTCGTAAAAGGCGACTAAGGAGTTTAGTATATGTACGTTTATGGTATGTTATTAAAATTATTCTTCATCTGGTTTGTTTCTTTAGTACCAAGAATCTTTGTCACAAATTCATTTGTGTGAACAATTTATAAAATAATTATGTTTGTGGCTTTCACTCTTTATTAATTATTATCAAACAAAATATTTTCATTATTTTATATTCTTCATTATAAACCTATAAATTGACAATATTTACGCTTATAGTTTAATATATTATATAGATTTGAATTTTATATTAAGCATATCTTCTATTCCATGATTCTCGTATGTATGTATGTATGTATTGTTTATTACAAAATAGTTAAAAAACAACTATGTTCCAGCCAACCGAATTAAGTATTATTTATTTTTAATAACAAAAATATATGTTCAGGACTTAATTATAATTATATATATATATTATATGACTTACGAATTTACACAAATGTTATGAATAAAAAAGTTTGACATTATCAAACTAAATACAATTAAGTATTTTTTATTATACTGACAATATGAGCTTTATTAATTAATTTATTATTTTCTTTAATTAAATTATTGTTTAGTTCCATAAAAATAATCAGTATAAAACACTAGTTATATAATAAACTATTAATACATACATATAAATATATTATAATAAATGCATTCATAGAAATAAACACTGTAAGATGAACACCAAAACAATTAGATTATAAATGTAACAGTTCCAAAAAAAAAAAAAAAACAGAAATAACTATAAAAAGAATGCAACTGTCGACATTTTGACTGAAAACAAACATGGTTCAAGTAAATGGTGGATTAAGTTTTGAGGCAAAATATCGATCTATTAGACTCTTGTACAGTCTGTCCATACAAATTGAGAAAATATTTATGACACAAAGTTCTAAAATGCTCTCAAATTCAAAATAATACAACAAGCAAATAAAAAAAGAACTTAAATTTATATTATTGCTGAAATTTTGTAACAACCACTCCATTATTGTAATAAACTGGAAGCAAATATTAAATGTTTTTCTCAATTTGTCTGATATTATAGGATATATTTTCAATTATAATGTAATCATAGTTGTAACATGTATATCTGATGGCAAACACAATTAAGTGTCTTAAAATTTGTTTTATAGAAAACCAACATTGTACTTAGAACAATATAATAATTTACATATATGCAAAGATATATAAATGATGTATAGGATAACAGTAGATAGCGGTGACAGAGATGTATGTCTTGATATTTAATAAGTTGACTTTGATGTTTATAAATTATCCAAAATAGAAAACCCACCAAGTATTTTTTCCGAACTTAATTACACCTTCTTTGAAAAGAGCCAGTAGATTTATAGTACTTGTGAATAAAATGCTCCCTATAGCTCTTTTAAGAATATAATATAAGGATTTCTGACTTATATACCTATATTCGAGTTTGTATAAAGTTGTTCTTATTCGTAAAAATACTATAACATATTATATTATTTTAACATACCATCTTACATCATTACTATGGTAAGTTAAAAGAAAATAATTAAAATATTTACTTATAACACTGTAGCTGTAAAATCAACAAATTTATTATATCACTTATATTGTAAGTCACTTTCAATCACCATCATAAGTCTGCTCTAATTGTAATTAACATCACACTCGACGAGTAACTGTAAATAAATTTAATTGAGTGTGATGGTCTACATATCCTAATAAATGGACTATCATTTTAAAGAATATCACTTTATATAATTAGTTTTAGTCAGAGTATTTTAGAAACTAAGAAAAATGAGTATTTATTAGGCTATAGGTATAATGTAGGATAGTTTTTTGAGTTTGTTTTTGGGACGTCCATAATTTGGACGTTTCACACGATATTCAGTTTCGATTCAAAACAAAATGCACCTATCAAAGTACACAAACAATGTATAAAGAACTTGCGTGTTGGTAAATTATATGTCCATTGGTACTTAATGTTCGATGTTTGTGGTAGGTTGTAATTTAAATTACATTATTTTCAGAATTTTTCTCAAACCCGTAGGATCTGTATATAGTCCAGCAAATTTAGATATGAAATACTCAATTCTAATCAATAGATTTTTGTAAAAGTATCAAATAATACATAAGTATTAAAAAAAGGATCTGCAGGTTTGTCATCAGTTTCATAGCTATTGATATTGAAAATAAAGAGAAATCAAGATGTATTAGACGTAATTAAAAATAAATCACAATATAATGTTTTGGACTTACTGAGACACAAATATTTACTTTCCTTGAC